GAGAAGATCTGTATGCGAACACCATAATTTTCGTGGCACAAAATAATGCGGCGCCATGATCTGTGTGATATTTTACGAAGCTATGCTTTGTTGATTGTTGCAAAGGCTCTCCGAACGGCCATCTTCAACTAATGGGTATTCTGGTATCGTTCACGTGAAACTCTTTCCTTGATAAAACACCACAAAACGTTGAAATCTCTTAGAAACGATGCTACAACTACTGTACATCACATCGTAAAGTTCGATAAAAAAGAAAGAAAATTGTAGCATTGGGACCTGAAAAATTAATGCTACTGAAAATGTCTTTTCAGTAGCATTAATTTTTCAGGTCCCAACGCTACAATTGCAGTGCAGCATTTTGCCTTTCATAATCTATTATTAAAGATTTTTTGTGGGTTGATAGGGTCTATCAGTAAATATGTATTTATTCTTTAGTGGCTTTCAAATACGAATACAGATCCCACTGAGCCTTCAAGATAAATATTAACAATCACAAAAGGGGAATCCAGAAACCTGGACCACGAAATAAGTGATAAAATTATATAAGGCTCTACATTGTTGAAGGTTTCAAACAAAAAAGATGACAAATTTTGAGGATTGTGTTGACTGCGTAGTAACGGGACTCGATATGTATACCAGAAATAGTGAGGGAAAAAGACAGAAAACAGCCAAAATGTTGTCCTTAAATTCACCGAAATATAAGAAAACAAGGAAACACAAATACGAGAATTCGGAAATAGGAAGAAAAAAAATTTCATGAAGACATCAGAAGACAAATCGAGGCAGAATTCTACAGAGTGGTCCGAAAGTCATGTTACAGCTACATAATTCTGAAATACACCAGAATTGTTTCCTTAATGGAAATAATAAATTTAATGATTAAACTTTCAATTAAAGCTAAAATGAAATCTTCAAGTGTGTTTTTTCATTTTTAAAAATTTATTTTAAAGTTAGGTATCGAAAATTTTGCCGAAAAAAGTGGAGGTCCCTGTAGCATAAGTTGTTCGAATTCTCCCCCAGAAACTAAGTTAAATAAAAATCTTATACTTTCGTTGGTCTTCAACAAAACCTGAATAAATGGAAAAATGGGGCTCAAATACACACACTAATATATATAGGCAGTAATCTGTTCGTATAATCTAAGCGAGTCTTAACCCAATATATAATTTCAAATATTAAATTTTGAAACTGATTCACAAATTGCGCTCAATGCTTATTTTCATTAGTTTCCCTGGCCACTCGCACCTCCATAATATGATACCCCATATTACTTCCTGTAACTACGCCGCCTTCTGTCATCTTTTCCCTTCTCATGTTCTCTCTTTCCTTCTCCAACTAACCAGTCCACTTCTAGAAACTGAGACCGTAAACAGTTTGAAAAAATCCTGCGAATTTTAAAATTCCAATTGTACGAAATATATAATGGATTTATATTTGATACTTTCATTAGTTCAAACGTTACTATAGTGGACACTAGTATTTGAAATAGACGCCCTATTTTTATTTTAAACAATGTGTATTTCGTTTACTGACATTCGCATTCAAGAACTCTTAAAGAACATGTATTCTCTGGCAGTGACCGAACCTTTGCCCCCCCCCATCCTTTCTAGGTGAATTCACCATTAGATCCAGCTTGCTTTACTACTCGGCCACAATGTGTGAACGTGCGTATCCATAAGTCTCAAGAGATTATGAAGTCTACTATGGGGACTAGCTAATCCCTGTTGCAAACGCCTGCTCAGGCACATGTTTCTTGAACACAAAGAGAGAGCCGACCTGTAGTTAATACTGCAACCATTTATTTTATGTGATCTCTCCATTTCTGTTTAAGTACTTTTGTTAAATCTTATGTTTTAACATTTTTGTTAAATCTATGTTTAAACTTGTATCTGTTTCTTAAAGGGCTTGTTTATTTACCAACTATAAAAATATGATTTTTTTTAACTCACAGGGAATGTAGTTTGTCGCGTATCTTGTTAAATTACCTTTCATATTTTCTAGGAAATGACATCGTATAATGTAAAACATAGCAGCCAAATAACATCCGATTTGTACATGACGATTGGATGTCGTATACGATTCAAATTTTTTGGGGTCATTGCCTCTTATGTAAGATAGCTTTTTAACTTTTGTTTTCTCCTTACTTTGAACTTAGCGACGGTCATATCGATTGGTGAATCTGCATAAAAAGAAAAGCCTGCAACTATATCTTCTTTATTTTCTTCTTATTCTTTTACTTCAATTTCTCGTGAAAAGAGGGTGTATCTTGGTTTTAAATCTCAATAAATTATCTACTCACCAGTTATTTACTAACTCCTGATGAGATGTGTTAATACGCATCGAAACATGATTGCATTGTTTTTTTTTTGTTTTTCTTTTCACCTGTTTTGATGTAATATCCTAAAATAAAAACAATATTGCTCTACTTTTATATTGAGCACCCCATTAAATTGAATATTACTAACGTCGGAATTGGATTCCATCCTCATTTTATATTTTCACACACACACACACACACACTATATATATATATATATATATATATAGTTTTTGTTAAATTCGACTGCCATGGTCTGTCTATTTAATTTTTATTGTATTTCTCCAATTTCCAATAAGATGCTGAATTTATAAATACAAATAAACTGTCATACCCTTAGTCAAAAGTACTTTGAATAAACTATCTCAGTCATTATGAAGAAATTAATGTTATTAGTATGGCAAACAATAATATTTTTTAACCTAAATCTTGTCGTTTTTCGATCGATGGATGTGGAATTGGAATCTCTTCAAAATGACGTTAAAGGTTAAACAGGAAATCATGTATTTACATGCGTTGTCATTTATATATGTATTTTAAATGTTTTATTCATAACTTCAACTCCAATATACATCATATTTTTCGTAACTTGAAAAATACTATAAAAATTATAAAGACACAACATGGCTGAATTTGACAAAACTTGTTTTGAGGAATTCATGGTACCTTAACACACACACACACACACACACATATATATATATATATATACTTAATTACTATATATATATATATATATATATATATATATATACTTAATATATATATATATATATATATATATATATATATATATATATATATATATATATATATATATATATATATATAATTACTATATATATATATATACTTAGTATATATATATATATATATTAATTACTATATATATATATACTTAATTACTATATATATATATATATATTTAATTACTATATATATATATATATATATAATTACTATATATATATATATATATATAATTACTATATATATATATATATATATATATTATACTATATATATATATATATATATATATATATATTATATATATATATATATATATATATATTAATTACTATATATATATATATATACTTAATTACTATATATATATATATATTATTTTTAAAGCAGATAATTTTTTAACATTCAATATAAGAAAAGCTAAATATTACGGCATAGATTCCATTTAAAAGAAATTCAACCACATCACATCTAACTGTAGAATTTGATTAAATAAATTTAATGATCTTCAAGTAGCATAGTATAATCATTTCAACCATATGTTCTTACATTGTTTGGCGAGAAGCTTGAAGTAATAATAGATATTACTATCGGTAAAGCAGACAGTATTATCGAGGGAAATCCGCTTTACAATGCTGAGGTGTACAGTCACTTAATTATACTTAGCAAGACACAATTAATGGAAATTGTCACGAAACACAAACCACAGTACGGAAGTCCAGACAATGAAGATCGTAACGTGAATGCCGCTATCGAAGAAACAAAAGTATGTGAAATGTCTTGAGGTTCTTATTATGATAATTATGATTAGTTAATATAGATTTTTATTTTATTTAAATTCACTATCGTTCAGGACAGTCGATCATGACTATCTACATATTTCTTTTTTATTATTATCTGTGAATTACTATCATTTCAGGAGAAAGATAGTGAGGTGGTGTTCCGTTGAATTCAGAGTAGTCTTTTTCTCGTAATCGCTGCTAAGCAAGGCGAGATAGCACTGTTGTATCTGCTATTTAACCCGTAGCCCCTCCCCCGGTCGATTCTGCTATTTGACCCGTAGTCCCCGTCGAGAGAAAAGATGCATTTATGCCTTTCCCAAAAATAACAGACTTAGATCACTGACTCCACTTTCCGTGCTGATAACTGTAATGCTAACCAAATGTAAACTACTTTTTTTCCCAAATACAATGTCTTTACAGGTGATTATGGATCTCCACAGATTGCTTTTATTTATCTGTGATTTGTAAGTGATTTCTTTTACCATGAGTACTTCTCCCAGACTGACTACCAGTCAAGGCTCTTTTGACCCTGCTATTTGACACACACCTGGTAGAAAGATGAATTACTACCTGTCCCAAAGAATCTGAACTCAACTTGTCGATTCCACTTTCTGTTTAGCATTCCGTATTTATTTTTCCTCCTTAATGAAAAAATTCTAAAACATAGAAAAATATCGGCCCAAAAATTGATCTCACATAGTAACCAACGCTATCTTTTGTTTGATCTGTGCCATCTAGTACTACCTGCCGTATAGTCGTACCATCGGAGACTAAACCGGTTTGCCCACCAACATTTTCTTGTGAGGGGGTGACTAGACAGAAGGATTGAAACAAAACCTTATGAAAAGGCGGATTAATCTATTTGTCAGGATCAACAGTCAGGGTGGAGGCTGCTCCACGCCCCAATGAAATCATTGACCTCATGTCAGTGATCAAGTCTAGCCTTCGAGTACATTGGCTGTGGTTTGGCATAGATAGGGACGGCTACGCCAGGTGTACTTGTCAGACACACGACACATGAATGGCTTTCAACAACCTTATGACCACACCCTGTCCGTGAATATAACGCGCCCAAAGGAAATTGGAACTCGGCTCTCTGATTAAGAATTCCGAGCCATTATACATTACACCATCCGAACACACAAGCTTAGAGCACCTGGTATTCTCAAGCGGTCACCCATCTAGGTACTAACCAGGCTCGACGTTGCTTAACTTCGATTATCTTATGGGAGCTTGTGTTTCAACGTGATGTGGTCGTAAGCCATTTGGTTCAAAATAGGATAAAATATATCCCAAATCGGTAGACTCAAGAGTAAGTCATTAAAATAAAAACTGTCAAAGACGTAGAGAGTAGGTCATGTGACATGAAAAGATGTTATTCAAGCACCGCTGCCTTGAAGTAAATTATTTGAAAATTATTTTCGAGTCTACTCACTTATGTCAGTCAACTCGGAAATATCGGCGAGAATCAAATCAGTCGACTCAGAAATGCCAGCCCGAGTCTACACCGAGTTATTGTCATGCAAGAATTCCAGTTTGTTCGTGGGACTTTTCTTATTCCTTTGAGGCAACGGAACCTCAAACCAACTGCAAATGACAACAACAGCAAAAACAAAACTGTAAGTTAAAACAATTTATATCCTTTGTCTGAATCATTTTATTAAACTAGTCGATGAATTCTCATTTCCTTCATTTCTGTGTAGTGTCCCTTCATGGCTCTCCATAGCTTCCTATCTGTTTTTGTTCTATAAGGTTTTGACCCTTTACGGTCTCTCTCTATCCTTGTTCTGCTATCCATTAACACAAAATCGGTTACATTTCGTTTCCTCCCTCCTACTCTCTCTTTCACTCGCTATGTTCCTCGAGTGTTAAATTCTATTGGATGCCTTCTTTCCTCATATATTCAGCCGTCTCTTTCTGGTATAAGTTCATTATTTCTGCATTCCTGAAGAATCACTTATTCATGAGGTTTCATTTCTCTCTGTATATAACCTAATTTACAATACTGTGTTGCGTCACTATGCAACTCTCTGAATTAACGTATATCATGTAGAAGTCGACTCTTTGTCTTCGTCTAACCTTGATTTTTTTTTCATTAAATTAAACTATACCTAATATGCAGGTTTGAGATTTTCATGCTAATTCATCAAGCACGAATACAAATTACTAGGTATTATTTATTTATTACTGAAGCCAGTCGCCAGATGGGCAAACAAACTGAAGGTAAATGATATGTAAAAAAAAAAGACCGTTGGTAACATGCAAAGAAGAGGAATAATTGAAACATTGAGTTGGAAAAACATTTTAGAGTGTGCAATAGACAAATTGTACACGAGTAGAATTATCATCAGCCAATATAATGAAACTGTATTTTGATCTCATTTTTGAGATGTCTAAAGACTTGGCACTGCTTAGCGAAAAAGGGAAACGTATTCCACTCGTTAATTATCCTTAGTAAAAAGATTATTTTCGGATGTTCACGCGAAAAGGCAGCAGTTAAATTTTTAATGGGTGTCCTCTGGTACATTTATATTGGCTTTTAGTAAAATATTTATCGAAGTTTGTCATAAATTGAATGTATTACTCTAAATACCTGTATTAAATCAAATTTAAAACGTTCACTTCCAAGTGGGAAAAGGTCAAGATCTGTAAGTCTCTCAGACTTATTTTTAACTAGACTAGAAGCCGCCCTTTGAACGGTCTTTAGGGTAGCTGCTGTGGAGAGTTTGTGGCCTATGTACATAAGTAATAAGAATTTAGAAATAATAAAATTATTTTATCTTTATTTGGAACCTTATGTAACCGATCTTCGTAGTTTTTTTTTTTTCGCATTTATTTTGCGCGCAATTTTTATTTTCTTTTAAAATCACAATTCTTCATTATCCCTTCACATAAAGTCACTCTTAAAACATTAGGGAACCAGAACTGTGTAGTATTTCAAATGTGTCACAGTACGCGTGCTAGAAAAAAATATATGAGGAACGTACCATGCCCCACTTATGTTTTAATTACGGTTTAATTCGACGATTGAAACTGCGACGAAAAGCGAAATTAAAGTTATACCTTTCACTCTGTTCGATATTTAACTTTAAATGAGCTATTTAATTTTTAATCACGTGCAACTACAGCAGTTATTATCTGTTACTTCAGGTTGTTTATGATTCGCCGAGACTGAAAAACGGATGGACGGACACACGTACACTGCGCTTTCTTTATATAAAAAAAAAAATCAGTAATCACTTTGATAAAGCAATTTTGTAAATTTAATCATGAAATGCTATTATACGGTAGGACCGGCACTAGAGTCTATCCCCACCCCCGAATCTTTGATACGCCCCCCCTCAACGTGTACTACATGTCTATTTCAAAGTTTCCTAAACTGGGGGGCAAAAGGAAAAGGTGGGAAGCGTTTTTTAAATTACCAAAGATCAGGAAAATATATAGTTTAAATGAAAATTTCAGTACATGTTCATTAATTAACTTTTATAAAGAATAAGTTTCTTTTATTTAAAAGAAATCTGAGAAAACGTTATTCTTTTTGTAATAACCACCAATATTTTCATGACTAAATTTTACACGTAAAAATCTGAAACTTAAACATTTTTCTTTACATTTCCATAAAGATTACTTACCGATGCATCTCAGCTGTAAAAAAAAAAAAAAATTTTACAAAGATTCTAACACAACACAAACGAGATAGTCTTAAAAATTTGTTGTAAAAACAGTATTTCAGTTTTCGAGAAAATGTTTCACGTGTTGAAATCTTTTAAATATTTTTATTTTTTAAGCGATCATTTCCTTGGTTTTATATTTCTACAAATGTAAAAGATTGGGACTAGAAACTTTTATTTTAATTACTAGCCGTGGACTTCAGCATTACTATAAGCAATTTAATTACTAGCCGTGGACTTCAGCATTACTATAAGCAATTTAATTACTAGCCGTGGACTTCAGCATTACTATAAGCAATTTAATTACTAGCCGTGGACTTCAGCATTACTATAAGCAATTTAATTACTAGCCGTGGACTTCAGCATTACTATAAGCAATTTAATTACTAGCCGTGGACTTCAGCATTACTATAAGCAATTTAATTACTAGCCGTGGACTTCAGCATTACTATAAGCAATTTAATTACTAGCCGTGGACTTCAGCATTACTATAAGCAATTTAATTACTAGCCGTGGACTTCAGCATTACTATAAGCAATTTAATTACTAGCCGTGGACTTCAGCATTACTATAAGCAAAAAAAATCAAAGATCCTTCTTAGTGGATGATCTCAGAATAAAAAATGATTTTATCGAGATATGTTCATTGATTTAAAAGAACTGTTCAGAAAGAAAATTACAATTTTAGAATGATAAGCGCAACTGAAATAAGCTCTTCTGCCCCCCCAACTACCAGTCGGCATAGGGCCCCCACTTACTTGAGAGGTTCGAAGTAGTAAGCACCAGCCATGTCGAATATTATATGATGATTGACAATATAACTTAGGTAGAAAAATTGTACAAAAAGCGAAAAACGCTGCTGAAACTGGCCCTTTTGCAGCTTCAACCACGTTGGGAGTTTGTGTGTAGTACGCAACGCACCGGCCATGCAGATACACGATGTATATTATTAGTTTATGACTGACAATTTAACATTAGTTTAAATTTTTTTTTTAAATGGCAGATAACCATAAAACAGTGACCAAAAAGAAATGGCAGAGGCTACAACAGGACAAAAAAACCCACCCCCCTCCGGTTGAGGGTTTCGGATGTTTAGATGCCCCGGCCCTGTATACAAGAACAATAAATAAGTGTGGTAGACAATTCAAAATCTTGCTCTCCTTTTTTGAATACATCTATTTCCCATCATATATGAAAGACATTTCCCGACCCTCTTCTAAAATATTTTCATATGTTCTATTAACTGATCTTGAAGCATCGAAATCCCAAATTATTTGTTTATTAACCTTGTTCTTTTCACTGAAATAAGAAAGTTTGTTACCATTTCAGAATTTATTCAAATCAGGAAAAAAAAAATTAAATATTGACCATATTTTATGGTAGAAGTTGATCATAATGCGTCTTTTCAAGCATCCGTTTTAAACCAGACAAAACTATTAACCATATATTTTCACATACGCTGTTTGATCTTAAAAACTCAATTTTTAAAATCCTTCTGTTTCTCACATTATAAGCCACTTCATGCTTTAATTGCATATAAAAAATATTTATTGCAATATCAGTGTGTATTTGTTGAAAGAAGGGACTGTCATCATAATTGATGGTATAAAAGATTCCACCGTTTATATTTTATAATACAGCAGCACAGGTGTAGGTTTGCTACCAGCACCAGTTGACAACAGTCTATTTCAAACTCAAATTATTTTTCTTTCTCGAATGAAACTTTGTTGGAAGCACTCCGTAAACAAAACTGTCATTAACTATGCTTTCTGGATTTCAGAACATGTTTGGTTTTTGCTTTTATAATCTGCATTTATCACCTAGTATGACGATTTGAATCTGTTCTTCAACGATTTAATGGTCTGCTGAGTGATTTCCCTTTTTATAAATTTAGGTTCTGTTAAGCATCTTCTAAAAGTGCTGGATTCGGCACAACTAGGGACACGCTTTGGATCAGATCCTTTCTTCCCAACTATTTCAACTCAGTTGGGAATGTGGTAATAGCTTCTTTATTGGTAGATACAGTCTGTCTATTATTGTTTGTTTTAGTCCGAGCCTATTCTTAGATCTAAATAACCATTTCTAGTGAGTAACTTAGTGGCAATAGGTGCTTTTGTTAAAATCTCCTTATAGGCATACTCTTTGTTCAAACAAGATGTTGCTGTAAGCTGGAACACTTTTCTGTTCATATTTTCCACTCACAAATCTAATTCCTTTTCCAAATTCCTCATCCAACCTTTTTCTTTAATTTTTCGATTAAAGGAAACACTTTAAGACATTTCCTTTCTGTATAGAAATTATCTACATTTACACATTGGTGTCTTTTATTTATTAAAAATCTATTATTACATTTGCATTAAGATAAACACTAACACACACAGTCGTACAGCAAAAGATATTTCAGGTTGAGTTGTATTTTTACTATACACCTTAAGCCCATTTGATGAGAGAGGTTGACGCAACTCCTGCCATTAAGAAATATATTTGATTTGCATGATTATACAAATTAAATGAATTAAACAATAAGTGAAACATTTTTTACTCTCAAGAATGATTTTGAAGGTAGTAAAAAGTATTTATTTTTATATTT